TTTTATTTGTTGATATACTTATAATTGTAATATATTTAGTGATTGTTTCAAATTGATTTGAAACATCTGGTTTCACAGTAATTATGACAAGGAATAAATTTTTTTGATTTAGCACTTCTAATGAGGCATCACTGTTTTGGTTGTACGATAAATTATTTCCGTCAATAAATCTACTTTCTCTAGCGACACGTTGGAAAGCTTATTTTTACGGTAAACAATTGTCCTCAGTAAATATAATTTCTACGACGACACGATGGAAAAGCTTTTTTGACAATAAACAATTTTATGTCGTCGATAATATTTTTGTTCCGACGACTCGTTAGTAATATTTTATTAACGACGGGACAATTTACGACGACGTCCGATGACAGTATGTCGACGAAAAAGGTCATTTTCGACGCAAATTTATTTATTTCGACAAACCTAATTAGGACTTGTTCTATAATGCCTACTAATTCACACCGCGAAGTAATTCATAGGATGCTAAGGTATATTCTAAAAGGATTTACTAGTTAGAGTTTATTCTATTGTACATAGTGATTCTAAAAGGATTTACAAGTTAGAGTTTATTCTATTCCACATAGTGATTCTAAAAGGATTTACTAGTTTACTTCCACTCTTGGGATATAGTGATTCGGATTAGGTAATATATATGTACTCTTGGAAATCTATCACTGTGCATTGCACATTTCTTGATCAAGGTATTGCTAGTTGGAAAACAAAAACAAAGAACAATTCCTTTTTCATCTTCATTATGCAAAATATCAAGCTTTTCTCAACTTAGTTGTTTGGAGAATGAGATTTAGATTTGGGTTTCAAAGAATTTTTAATGTATTTAGTAATAGAGATTATTACTTTTCATTAAATGTGTCTCTTAGGGTTAGAAATTTCTAATTCGTTAAGATCTTGGATTTATATTCTGATTCTCCAATTGAATCCTTAATCATGTGCTTTAATTGTCGTAAAGCTTATTCTATATTATTTATTTGTTGTTTTCAATTATTAGCATTGAGATGTCTTGAATCTGTTTATTTGATCTATGATTTCTTGTATGAGACTAACTAGCGTGTGTATATATATATACTGCTAATTAGCGGATTACCCTAAGCCCTAAACCTCCAATTTTGAGTTCTATCGCTAAATCCCAAATTGTAAACCCTAACCCTAAATCTCTAAACTATAAATCCTTCAAATTAAAATAAATCTTTAATGGTTTTTTTGCAATTTTATGTGCGTTATTGTTCATCACATCATAAGTGATGATTGACATCATTTTGACATAAAACGCAGGTTTAAAATGACAGTTATGAGGCGAGTGCACTGAATGCACCCAAAAAATTGAATGCACCGAATATGCCACTATCATTAAATATTTATGTAACGTACTTTTTTCCTTTATCAATTTCTCTCCCTATTTTAACAAGTTAGTAATTCTTTTATGAATTAGTTAATACAAAGAGTAGAGATTGTTCTGAAAGATCTCACTAATGTCAACAGGTTTTAAACCTTGCTTCAAACAATTACTATTATTATCAATACCATTGATGGAATTCATCTGCCCAACGGATAATGCGCACATTTATTATAGTATTGATTTTATTTATTGTAATTATTAATTTATATTAACAATATATAGAAATGTAGTTAATTTTTTGGAATTATAGGTGTGATTATATTCTATTATTACAAAAATCATTTAAAATTTCAAAATAACAAAAGAAAAATATCACATGTGTGGAGGTTGTTATTGGTTAGTAGTTAACCGTCAAACCAATCGCTAACCGAACCTATAACAAGTGTTACCCGATAAGCATTATCGGTTCTGTTTTTGGCATGCATTTTTTTCGTAGTGGTTAACCACTGACCGCCAAATCAGTTAATGCTTAACCGAAACCAAAGCGATCAGCACCCTGTTAGTTAGTGTATCATGTAAATATTTATGTTGTTTACTTTTCTTTCTTTATCGACTTCTATCTCTAATATTATAACAAGTTAGTAATTCTTTTGTGAGTTAATAGAAAGGGTAGTGATTGTTCTGAAAAAATCTCACTAATGTCAACAGGTTTGAAAGCTTGCAATTAACCACGGCCGCATTGGACATCGCAACTCTCTCATTTCCACACTCAGCCGGTCAGTCCTCCACAAATAACCAGATAAAAAAGATTAAGCAGCGACATAAATGTTTCAGGATTCGGAAGAAGCAAAACCAGAGATAACCATCGAATGTGTTTCCACATTTCAAAGATCTCTCTACTAATTCTTAACGAAACTCATAAATACAGAGAAGAGAGATGGGCCTCGAGTCAATACGAGAGAAAAGGGAAAAAATAGAACAGAAGAGAAAGAGGCCATGCTCATGCATCAATAATAAATGTAGAGATGAGAGAATAATTAGGAGAAGTGAATAATAAGTGAACCAATCAAAATTTTAAAGTGTTTACCTCCACCGCTTCCCAATCGGAAAATCTCAACGTGTAACAAAGGTCACATAGCTTGATTGGTGAATCCTCGTTGGACGCTCGTTCTAGACGTGTCAGGTCCTGAGATGGACTCTTTTTGAGGTCCTTTCGTGGTGACTCGGCGATGCTAATACGGATTTTAGTGGAGGGCACATATAGCTCAAGCAGGTAAACTCAGAAGTCTGGTCTCGCTCTACCATCGCTTAAATTGTGTGTGGATGTTCCTGGATTATAAAAAAAAAAAAAAATCTAAACGTGTTATTGGTCATATTGTAAGCAGCAATCGCCAGGCAGCCACCCTGATCTCATCTTGACTCTCAACATAGGTTTCAACTTTCAAGCCCATAACCCCAAAACCCCGCTTATTTATTCCAATGCAACTACTTTATTTTGGAACAACCGAAAAGGAGAAAAGTCAATTTAGATGGTCATGAGATGCTAATTGACAAGTTATTAAAAAAAGTAGTTTATGGAAGGCTGATTGGCCTAATCCGAAGAAAAAAAGTGTTTCATTCATACTCAAATTAAGTTGGTCAACATGCACATATGATCGAGAAAGATTCTCATTCAGTTTAATGCTTAAAGTAGTACAAAGAAATTAATATCACCAACTAATCCAAAAGCAAGGGAAATTTTAGTACATGTGAACTTTCGACCAATATTTCATTTAGGTTACTAAATGTGGCTGAATGTATGATTTTGACGTCAGTGTTGATCAAATCGAAGAATTTATTCGAATAACCAGAAGATCGCAATTTAACATAAATATTGAGATGAAAACATCTATCAAACCCTGGATTGCAAGCTTATGTTATAAGAGGAAACTTCCCGTCAACCAACACCTCATTAATAACCCATGCTTGGTAATGCTTAAGCTGTTTTATTTTTTCTTCATAAATATATTTCATTGACTCAGAGAATTACGTATCTTGTTTAGAATCATGGATTGCTAAAATTAATACGTTGTTAAGCATATAGTGAGAAGTAAATATGTTTACATTTTCTCGGATAAAGAGGTGGTTTGAAGACTTTGTATGCATACGAGAGTGAGTTCAATGGAGACTTTTGAGTAGCTGCCATAGAGTTTTTTTTTCTTTATTGGTCACATTGAAAGAAAAGAATGCCAAGATTAGTTGTTCTGTTCACCCTTTGTATTGAATAACAATCTTATCACTAGTTTCTATCTAATTGTAATTGTATGTCTAAGTAATACCTATATATGCATGTCACTCTAAGAGTTGTAAGTCGTTAACCAAACTGTACAGATTCAGAAATATGGGAAAAGATTCCAGCTTTATCAGTCAGCTTGCGTATACATTGACATCCTCATTCCTCATTGTTGTATTCGAAATATATAACAAAATAACCCAAAAAAATATCTTGGACGTCACGATCTATCTAAATACATATCGTTAGCCATACTTCCTCCTTCTCTCAAACCGCCATTAATACGCCCCGTGCAAGCAAAACCCCAAACACACATTAAAGCCCTCACTCTATCTCTCTCTGTCTACAGAAATCTGGAACAGAGAGAGAGAGAGAGAGAGAGAGACTCTTCCATTCTTTGTATATAAAAAAGGGAGAGACAAAGGGATCGGAAGCAGAACTACCCAAAGTTTCACAATATACTTCTATAACTCTCTCTCTCTCTCTCACACACTCAAAAAGTTTGGTCTGAGTAGTACAGAAAAGAGGGCAACCCCAATTCACTGCTACAGGACCATTTAAGAGGGAGGGGTCTGGCTTCTGATATATATATGTGAATGAAGAAGATTCCAGCAAACCCATGATGCCATCTATGAAAGCTTAGCCAGGCATATATGAATAATATGAGTGGAAGTCTTTTCTTTGTTTCTTTCTACAACTCTTTTGCCTCTTCTCCTTCATGGCGATTGTACTTGGGAGATGATGAGCAGTAGTGGAAAAGCGTTTCAGTTTTAATGTAAGTGATGAGATAGAAAGGTAAAAAGGGGTGGGATGGATGGATGGGACTCTCTCTTGTACTTGCTTCTCTTCCACCCCCATCCCCATATTTTCCTTTCTTGTTTATTATTGTTGCAGGGGATTCCTGTTGCTGGGTTTCTTCTATTTTATCAAATTTCGATTTTCTAAACTCCTTCTTTCTTTCCTTGTATTTTTATCTTTTATTATTATTATTAATATTAATTCCAATTCAATGAGAAATAGTTTAGAATTGAAATGAGAACACAATGGGTGGAGAGAAGGTGGGAGTGAGTACTGTGTAGGTGAAGAGAGGCTGCCTGCCTATAAGAATAAAGGGATGGTTATGTTATTATTTTGATGTGTCTGTGTCTGTCTGGCTAGAGAATTCAGCAATCACTAGCACTTCACTGAACTATATAGGTATGTATAGCCATAGCCATTGATAGAGAGAGAACAAAGCAAAACAAGCACCCAAACAAAAGGGTTTCCTACTTGCTATAATACCAACATCTTTCTTCTTGCTTTTGCTTCTGCTTCTGCTTCTGCTTCGATCTTCTTCTTCTCATTAGCTATAGCCTGAGTGTGCTAAGTGCTAAGTGCTAACTAGGCCTTTTCTGTTGCCCTACTTTTGGTTTGTTGGTTGGCACGATAGATCGAAAGCCAAAGTTTGAGAGAAATTAATTAAGATGGCATCCTCGAATCGACACTGGCCCAGCTTGTTCAAGTCCAAGCCCGTGGTCTGCAATCAACGGCAGCATGACGTCAGCAACCACCACCCTCGCCCTTCCTCCTCCTACAGCCCCCGTACGTCATTTTCCTTGCCACTTCCTTCCTCGCTCGCTCTTATCATCATATTAATTCAAACTAAGCTTATTAACTCCATCGATCTTCATGTTGTTATTCAAACTAACTGCAGTGGTCGGGGAGGAGCGCAGCCCGGAGCCGAAGCCGCGCTGGAACCCGAAGCCGGAGCAGATCAGGATCCTGGAGTCCATCTTCAACTCCGGCATGGTCAACCCTCCCCGCGACGAGATCCGCAAGATCCGCCTCCAGCTCCAGGAGTTCGGCCACGTCGGCGACGCCAACGTCTTCTACTGGTTCCAGAACCGCAAGTCCCGCACCAAGCACAAGCTCCGCAACCTCCACTCTCCCTCTCCCTCCGCCGCCACCTCCTCCTCTTCCAAACCACTCTCCACTGCCACCTCATCCTCCTCCTCTTCCTCCGACAACAACAACAACAAACCCTCCCCTCGCGGCTCCAAGCGCACCCTCTCCTCAAGGAACTCCTCAGCACCCCACCACGGCGTCGTTTCCCCGCAACCTCACCATTCCTACTTACCCGCGGCCCACCACCACCACGACTTCTTCCCTGGGCCGGAGCCCTTTTTCCCGCAGGGTAGCACTGGCGTGAACGTTGCGGCGCCGTTTGGGCAGGGGTTTTGCTTCTCGGAGCCGGCGGCGGTGAATGTGGGGCCGTGTACCAGTCTTCTGCTCAGCGACATTCTGAGTGTCGATCAAGCTCCTACGGCCTGCAGAAAGCTGGAGAATCACCACGGTGACGTGGCGGACGATGATGATTGCACCAAGAAGTTGCACCAGCTTTGCTACACGCTGGCGCCTACTGTTCCCAGCATCGGCCTCGGCCCGCCAGGTGGCAATCTCCATCTCCAATCCGACGGCCTTGGTGCTGCCACGTGCAATACCACCGCGTCTAATAATACTGCTGCTGTCCTTCCTTCTTCCCTAATTCTCAACCAATTTCCAGGTTAGTAATTTTAATTAAGTACGGCCGACATTAGGTTATATGTACGATGTAGAAGTAGATTAAACGAGGTTGGTGAATGGTGACTATATATGTTCTTCATACCAAATATATACTTTATTTTTTATTTTAAATAAAAATAAAAGTACAGATTTTTATTAGGCATGTATGAAATTTCAATAGATGGACAGGACTAGTGATGTAATGTATCGAGAGAGCTTTTCTGAAAGGAAGGAAGATGGGGGAGGGAGAACTGAAGAGAAGAGGGGTATGAACAGTGATAAACAGAAAAAGAATGGGCTACATTTGTCTTTTCCTCACTAACAAGCTTGTCTAGATGGACGTGTGCATGGCCATTTCTGTTTTCCCTTTGACAAAAAATATTTTGATTTGACCGTTTGACAATTTTGACACACGTCCTCCTTCCCCTCACATATGCAATCTCTTTATTGTATTTGATGATGATAAAACAAAATGGCTTGACGCAAATTATTTTTCATGTATGGTAGGTGGTGGTGGGGATAATGTGCAGCCGCCGGCGGGAGTCAGCGAGGGAGGGAGATCGCCGACGGCGACGGTGTTCATAAACGAGGTGGCGATTGAGGTTGGGGCGGGGCCGTTCAACGTGAGGGAGGCGTTCGGGGACGACGTGCTGTTGGTTCACTCTTCCGGCCAGCCGGTTCTGACCGACGAGTGGGGAATTACGCTTCACTCCCTCCACCACGGCGGTTTCTACTACTTGCTACCCTTCTCCACCGCCCACCACGTCAGTATTTCATTTCTTCTTCTTATATTTTTGTTTTCATTTTCCCCTTTCAGTTAATTAATTAATTAATGGAGACGCACAATCGCTGAATCACAGTTTTGTTGACAATAATGATGATGCCGTACAGCTTGACGCCTGTCCACACACATATTTACCATATTATAAATGCATGTGTGAACAGTCATATATATGGGATTCATGAATTTGTTCACTAATTAAGTTAAGTTTTTTTTCCCCTTTTTTCCTTAAATCGCAGATTTAAGACGATGATGATGAAAGACAGACAGACGAGGCGAGTGGCGCCTTGAAATACCCAGCGCCAGCCCGTACGTGTGGATCCTATCGTATCGTGTTCTGGTGGCGAATTAGGGTTTTTTTTTTTTTTTTTTTTGCTTAAATATATTAGCTAGATAGGGTTTTTCTGAGGCCACAACTGTAGCTAGGTTTGGATGTGGGAACAAAGCCGTGTTGGAAGCTTCTTCTTTTGTGGCCTTTTTTCTCTCTTTTGTCTCTGTTGCTGGCTTTATCGCTTATCAAGTATCAACTCTTTTTTTTGGCTTTGTTTGGTTGCGGCAATCTTGCTATATATCAAAGCCCAAGTATGCTATATTGTTTTTTTTTTTGAAAGATAAGTGTGTCTATGATCTCCACCCCGCTACGCTGTCGAAATTGTGGTTTCCGGCGAATTCACATGGTCTGACAAAACCGCGTACTGGATTCAATCAATCCAATTTGCCGGAGAGCACATTTGTGAGTGTGCGTAGGTTTGTGTAGTACGTACAATGTTTATCTTGCATAGTTTGAGGAACGATCATCAATTGTTTCAGTACCCGAGGAGTTCATATTGCATATTTAATATCGAATTCACGGGTTATTCATACAACCGATAGGGAAAGAAATGAAGGAATCCCCAATGCCTCCATGGACATAACTTTGGAAAGCCCTTCCCAGTGTAAAAGCTTGAAAGGGATATACTGAGAAATATTCATTGTTCCTTCCAATCACATTGAGGACAAATCCAAAATCGAGCCCTAGCAAGTTAGGGCGTAAGAAGAAAGTTTTTACAGTCACCAAATAGGTCATTCTATTACAAACACAACTAACAAATCTAACAAAAATCTAATAAAACCCATAAAACAATTACAAAGTACGTAACTGAATTCCTTCTGCATCGATATGAGCACCCTCCACCACCTTATTGAACACCACCTTGACATCACCTGCAAACACCACCAATTTGAACACCCCTAGTCAAGCACTATCAAATCGCACAAAATGGATGAATGTTGATGGAGAAATTCTACCTAATTCAGAAGGAGAGTGGAAGGAGACACAAAGTACATACATAATGCATGGAAAAAATTAAATGATGGAAAGATAGGAAGCTAGCTAGGGACATGCATATAGATTACATGTGGGTATTTTTGGTTGGTCCTCCCAAAAGGGTAAGGTGTTAATGTCGGAGGAGGAATAACTTGTGTTAAGTACTTTTGTAGCATGGAACCATGAAAGATGGAAATTACACGTACCATCCACAAAGACAGATGCCAATACTGTTTGTTTTCCGAGTTGTCAAATTGGAAGTAGAGTGGTTGGAGTGGTAGCTAGAGGGTGAAAAAAAAAAAAAAAGAATGGCAAGGAAGGAATCGGAGGTTGAGTGGTGCAGAATATTTACGTGCCCGCTGTTGTCAACAGTGCTTGCTGATATACATAATACTCTCACTCAGCCGCGGAGAGGCTTACCTGACCTCAACACTACAGTCAACACAAAAACCACACCATTTCGATTTGACCCATTGGAGATGGATTTATCATCATATTCATATCATGATGACCAGACCACCCCCAAAAATGCAGAGGCACGAACAGTGGACTGGTGTTGTCTGTCTCGTCTGTGCTTTGCATCAACACTACACTAGCTATCAAAAAGAGAGGGGTGTTGGGGGTGAAATATTTTTGTCATGATGAGAATATGGACCTTATAAGGACACACATTACTACATGTTCTGCTCCAAATATATGTTGACCCAGCTGCTGGTTTCTGTTCATCATCTTTGATTTGACCCCTTCTTTCTTCTCTCTCCTATCTCCAAGTTTTTATCCCCCTTGGCGAGAAGTGAAAGAAATATTGCATTACATGTATGTGTATTGTATTCCAACATGAGATTCAACCATTATTATGTAAGACCATCTATGTGAGTTTTATGTTGCAATTTAACAAAAGTGGACCTACTTTGTTGCTAACTTAGTTACATTGTATGTATCCTACGCACAATTCCACTTGCAATGTCGTATGGGTAATTGTTTTACTTGCTTTCATTTTTCTTGTGAGCATTTGGAATTCAAGGAATTTGTTTCACATGTATTGTCAATGAGATTATAAGTATTTATTTAGGGATCGTTTGGAGAAACGTTTCGTCGAATTTATAGATTTAGCAGAAATCTATGTTTTCAAATCCCTTCCTCTTTTATAGTTAACCTACCATATATTCTTACCAATAAATTTTAATTATCTTTAGAGCCACTCAGATTATTTTGGTTAAGAGTTAAAAAGTCATTTTCATATTAAAAAAATATGGAATTTTTATTTTTGGGTTAATAATACTAAAAATAACTTACTTTGCCGAATTTTCCATTTGTATAATTTAATTTTTTATATTTCATTTGTATATCAACTCGTCTCTTCAGTTAGATTTTCCGTTAGAAGTTAACAGAATACACAGTTAGAGATGACATGGCTGTTGACATGGAATTCTCTTACCTAAAAAAATAGAACCATCCCTAACCCCACTTCCCTCTAACCCCCGAGCCCCATCCTCTGTTTTTAAAAGATAAAGGTGGTGGTTAGACGAGGGAGGGGTAGCGACGAAGGCGACCGCATCATGGGAGGGCTTTCATTGTTTTGGATCATCAAACAAAGACAATCATCGCCAATGGAGCTGGAAGTGGAGATTTGAGAAAAGCAACGACGATTAATAAACGGATTAGAACAGGAGAAGACTAACAATGCTCGAAATGAAAGCTAATTGAACGCAAACTGACGACTCTATTCATTGAATGAAATCAACATTTATACACAGGACTCTCAACCGAAAGCCTTCAGGCTCGATTTTGACACTCAACTCTAACTGCAGAATCCCTGGAGATTAGCTCCATGACCAACAAACTAACTCTGCTAACGTTCCTCTGCAACGGCTAGTTTAGCCCGACTGACTGCTACTAACATAGAACAAACAACGATGACCAAAATGGAAAAATACCAAACGACGCAGTCTAAGGACACAACTTAAACAGACACAACAACTAAACTTGCAATGACACAGTTTTGATCTCCTTCTCCGGGACGGATTCGGATTCCTTCAACATTCCAGCATCTTCAACAGCCTCCCCTGAACTGAACCCTGTCATAGACAGCTTCAGTTTATCAACCTTCAGACCCTAACTCAGCTCCATCAACCAGTCCAAGCTTGCTGCGTAGCAATTGAAAGGTCTCCAGCTTCAATGGCTTAGTCATTATATCTGTTATTTGATCTGCAGTTCCACAATGTTCCAGTTCTATTGTTCCATTTCTAGCCAGCTCCCTCAGGAAATGGAAGCGAACATCGATATGTTTGCTTCTGCCATGCATAATTGGATTTTTAGACAATTTAATAGCAGAGCTATTATCACACATAACCTTAGTTGCACCTGCTGCACAGCCTGGCCATCCCATTTGTGTCACAACTCTCTTCAACCAAACACTTTGGGCTGCACAGAAAGATGCAGCCACGAACTCTGCTTCTGTTGTTGACAGTGTCACAACAGGTTGTTTCTTTGAGCTCCATGAGACTGCTCCTCCTGCAAGAAAGAAGATGTAACCACTGGTGCTTTTCCTCTCATCCAAATCTCCAGCATAGTCACTGTCTGTGTATCCCAGCAAACAGTCTCCTTCCTCCTGTCTCTTATACATCACTCCAAACTTCAGTGTTCCTTTTAGATACCTCAAGACCCTCTCTGCTGCCAGAACATGTTGCCTTGTAGGCTTGTCCATGTACCTGCTCAATAAGCACACTACATACATGATGTCAGGTCTGGTAGCTGTTGCATACAACAGACTCCCAATGAGCTGTTTGTACTCAGTTGCATCACCTTGAATGCCATCTCCAGCCTTCGAGAGTTTGGTTCCTGGCGCTATAAGATTAAGAACATGGTTGCAGTCTGCCAGGTGAAACTTTTCTAACAGTTCTCGAACATACTTAGATTGAGAAATGAAGATACCAGTAGATGATTGAATTACCTCCGCTCCTAGGAAAAACTTCATTCTTCCTAGGTCTGTCATCTCGAACTCAGCCTCCATTGATTCCTTAAACTCCTTTAGCATCTCAGGACTGGTACTTGCATAGATCAGATCATCCACATACACACTGACTAGAAACACATCTCCTTTCTTCCTTTTCACGAACAGTGTGTGCTCAAATTCACACTTTTCAAACCCATTTGTCACAAAATGAGACTCTATTCTGCTGTACCATGCCCTGGGAGCCTGCTTCAGGCCATACAAGGCCTTTTGTAGTTTGTAAACCTTGTTTTCTACACCAGGAATTTCAAATCCTTGTGGCTGTTGAATGTAAACTTCCTCTGTAAGTTCTTCCTGCAGAAATGCACTCTTGATGTCTAACTGATACACAGTTAAACCATGTTGTGCTGCAAGTGCCAGGAAAGTCCTTATAGTGTCCCACCTAGCCACAGGTGCAAACACTTCACTGTAATCAATTCCATGCCTCTGAGCATATCCTTTTGCCACCAATCTTGCCTTGAATTTATCAATTGATCCATCCTCTCTTAGCTTTGTTCTGTAAACCCACTTGACTCCAATAGGGATTACTCTAGGTGGCCTGTCAACTAGAGTCCAAGTAAGGTTTCTTCTGATAGCTTCAATTTCTTGCTTCATAGCTTGTCTCCACTTTTCATCCAGTACTGCTTCGTCGAAAGTGGTTGGATCACCACTGACTGCTACTAAAGCCCATATGTCACTTTCAGTGAATGCCAAGTTAGGCATCCCAGAGCAATCATAGTCTCCAAATCGACTAGGGAACTTTCGATTTCTGGGACCTAACTCACTGCTAATTGGTAATCCCAGTGCATCAGTCATTTCTTCTTCTTCTTCTTCTTCTTCTTCTCCTTCTTCTTCTGTCTGAGCAGTTGGTGGTGTAGTGGGATCTGCAGATGAGGTTTGAGAGCTGGAAGGATTTGTACTCTCATCTGCAGGCTGTGAGTTGCTGTCACTCTCTTCTTCAGGAACTGATTCCTCTCCTTCTTCTCCCTCACTTCCTTCTTCCTCCTCTGAGTCATTCCAAACTTCTTCACTTCCTTCCCATACCAGCTTAGTCAATGCAGGTTCTT